GGCCGCAGCACTGGGGGGAGGGCAGTGAGCCCGGCTGGGTCTTCGCTCTCCCCGACCGGCCGCAGCACTGGGGGGAGGGCAGTGAGCCCGGCTGGGGCCCCGCTCTCCCCGACCGGCCGGAGCGCCAGTGGGAGGGCGGCGAGCCCGCTGCAGCTTCGCTGTCCCCGACCAGCCGGAGCGCCGCGGCGAGGGCGGCGAGCCCAGTCACGGCCCAGCTCTTGGGCCGGAGTGCCCCGCCACGCCGCCCACCTCCAGGCACCGCCCCAAGCATATACTTGGTGGGCTGGTGCCTGGAGCCGGCCCTGTCTCAGAGCCACAGCCACCAGCGTGCCCATGTCTGGCTCTGGGAGCGGAGCAGGGGTCACTCCAGGGCCAGGCCGGAATTACACTTATCTGCACCAGAGCCTGGCCAGGGAGTGGGTGAGCAGGGCTGCCAGGGGCCAGGTGTCTCTTCCCTAGGGTTGCCAACTATCTAATCACACAAACCCAAACACCCTTCCCCGCCCCTTCTCTGAAGCCCCGCTGCACCCACTGCATCCCTCTCCCTCCATCGCTTGCTCTCTCCCACCCTCACTCACTTTCCCCAGGCTGAGGAAGGGGGTTGTGGTGTGAGAGAGGGTGCAAGCTACGGGGAGAGCGTGGGGAAGGTGGTTGGGGTGCAGGTGGGTGTGTGGGGTTCAGGCTCCGGGAGGGGGTTTGGGCGCTGGAAGGGGGCTCAGGGCTGGCATAGGGGTTGGGGCACTGGGGGGTGCAGGGTGCTGGCTCAGGGATGGGGTTGGGGTGCGGAAGGGGTGTGGGATATAGGAAATGGGAGGGAGTTTGGGTGCCAGAGGGGGCTCAGGTGGCGCTTACCTCGGGTGACTCCCAGCCGGCAGTGCAGCGGGGCTAAGGCACGTGTAAAGGTGGGTTCTCCCCAGCGGGCAGAGGCGTCTGTACCCAGCTGGTCTCTCTGCAGAATAGATGGAAACACGTCTAGAAGCCTTGGAGACAGGAGCAGGAGGGAGGGGCAAAGCGGAGTGTAAATGGAGGGGAGAGAGAGACAGAGTGAGACGGGGAGGAAGGGAGGGAGTTTTGTAGCAGCCGCATGTTAAACTCTTGGCAGCGTAGGACTGGCACGTGGACAGACAGTAGCCATCGTGGCTGGGAAGAGAAGGGGATTTTCCCCCAGGCAGGAGTGAGTTGATGTGAAAATCTGATATGAAAGCTCTAACGTCTGCTCCTCTCTTCCCATCGCTCCAAGCCCCCAGCATTAACTCCAGCGCTGAGTTCGAGGGAATCAAAGAGACGTGCAGGAATTTCTCTCTGCAGGTACGTTCGAACCCATCATTCATTTGTTGGGGATTTTGCCCTGTGTTTTGTACCACCAATATGGAAATTCCCAGACAAAAACCTTTGCTTTTGGTATTACGGTGACCCCTGTAAACCCCATCCAAGATCAGGGCAATTCTGCGTTTCTTCCTTTCATCACTGGAACTCGATCCTCCTCATCCTTCTAGTAGAGCGGAAGAATTACTTCTTGTGTCTTGCTTACAACGCTCCTGCTAATACAGGGGTTCTCAAACTGGGGGTTGGGACCCTTCAGGAGGTCATGAGGGGATTACATGGGGGGTCGCGAGCTGTCAGTCTCCACCCCAAACCCCGCTTTGCCTCCAGCATTTATAATGGTGTTAAATGTATAAAAAAGTGTTTTTAATTTATAAGGGGGTCGCACTCAGAGGCTTCCTATGTGAAAGGGGTCACCACTAGAAAAGTTGGAGAACTACTGTGCAAATACATCCCAGAATGAGGTTTGGTTTTTTTGCAACAGCATTACACTGTTGACTCGTATTGAGCTTGTGATCCATTATGACCCCAGATCCCTTTCCGCAGTACTCCTTCCTAGGCAGTCATTTCCCAGTTTGTATGTGTGCAACTGATTGTTCCTTCCTAAGTGGAGAACTTTGCATTTGTCCTTATTGAACTTCATCCTATTTACTTCAGACCATTTCTCCAGTTTGTCCAGATCATTTTGAATTTTAATCCGATCCTCCAAAGCACTTGCAGCCCCTCCCAGCTTGGTATCGTCCGCAAACTTTATAAGTGTCCTCTGTATGCCATTATCTAAATCATTGATGACGATATTGAACAGAACCAGACCCAACACTGATCCCTGTGGGATCCCACTCGATATCCCCTTCCAGCTTGCCTGTGAACCACTGATAATTACTCTCTGGGAACGGTTTTCCAACTAGTTATGCACCTACCTTAGAGTGGCTCCATATAGGTTGTATTTCCCTAGTTTGTTTATGAGGTCATGTGAGACAGTGTCAAAGCCTCACTAACGTCAAGATATACCACGTCTACCGCTTCCCCCCATCCACAAGGCTTGTTACCCTGCCAAAGAAAGCTATCAGGTTGATTTGACAGGATTTGTTCTTGACAAATCCATGCTGACTGTTACTAATCACCTTATTATCTTCTAGGGGTTTGCAAATTTATATCAAAACTTCTAAAACTTCTGTAGCTTTGCCAGTGGCTGGCCCCAGACTTACACGCGCATTGTCTTCCTGCAGGAGAGCATTGAATCTACAGACCATATACTCTGATTTTTTCTGCTGATTTTCATGCCGTTTCTTTCCAATATGCATCTCCATGTCTCCCTGCATCTTCCTTCATTTCCTCTTTCCTCTCCCCCCATGAGCACTAGGTCATCTGCAAAAATGGGGGGAGGGATAGCTCAGTGGTTTGAGCATTGGCCTGCTAAGCCCAGGATTGTGAGACCAATCCTTAAGGGGGCCACTTGGGGATCTGGAGTAAAATCAGTACTTGGTCCTGCTAGTGAAGGCAGGGGACTGAACTCAATGACCTTTCAAAGTCCCTTCCAGTTCTAGGAGATGGGATATCTCTATTAATTATTATTAAAAGCAGGTTCCCAGGGACTCCTCTCTGGCTGCTTTCTGTCAATGCCTCCAGCACCGACGTGAACAAAAAGGGGCTTAGTCCCAAGCCTTGATGTATTCCAGCTGTTACTAGAAACTGTTCCCTTTCTCCACATGAACCTCGCGCTGTGGCAACAGCACCATCGTACATGTCCTGGACACGTCTGATATAAAAGCTTTATTCACTCCATGAGGGGTGTCAGGATCAGGCCCCTGCATAAGTCCAACACCAATGTCGGTCGCCCTTCAGCGCCTGCAGAACTCACCCTCTGCCCTGGGTCTCTCTGCAGGGAAAGTGGGGCAGCAGAAGCAGCAGTTTTTGCTCTTTCTTTAATTCGACCTTAGACATTTTGATGTCCACGTTCAGAGATGGGAATACGGAGTTATCACTGGAGGTAAGAGGCTCCGCCCCTTGAATGTGCCCTGCAGACTAGTGCCCCTGTGTGTGCCCCAGAGCCCTGTGTGCAGCTGTGCTGGGTTAGGAGTCTCACTGGGTTGTGGGGGAGGGAGACATGTAGATACTCTTCAGACAAGATCTGTGCCCTCCACTGCTGTGGGAAGCGGGCGTGCACCCTCTAGTGGTGTTTGTCTGTGTCTGTGTGCACATGCCCTGTAGTGGTGTGAGTGCACGTTTGTGTTTGTCCACCCACATGCGCCCTCTAGTGTTCAGAACAGAAGTGCTATACTGCTAACAGTTAATGGGGACTCTCCTTCAGCTCATCTGTCAGTGACCTGAGTTTTTCAGGCAGCAGGATCTGGGCTCTGTCCCTGCCCTGCCAGACATTTCTGAGCAGCTGCCGGATGCAGCATAGAGACAGCTTAGGCAGCCGTGGGCTTGTGACAATGTTGTTCCCTGGCATCTGTAATGGAGGGACAGGGGAGCGGGAGTGAAGAAGGAAGGACAAAGGGTTCTAGCCCCAGTTGGCTTCAGGTTCCAGTGGGGCCCCGAGTCAGCCTCAGTGGACCCCCTTTGTAAAAGGCTCCCCCTCTGAGAGCACTACAGCCCCCTGAACTGGGAGAGGCTGTGATGCCTGATGACCCCTGGGAACACAAGGGACGTGACACCTGAACCCCTAGACTCCTCGCTCCCAGGGCTTTTCCTTTCCTGTTCCCAGAACGTGACTCTCTGTTTCAGTGCCCTCCTGAACAGCACCTCCCTCTGGGATGGCGGAGACAAGTGGGAGGTGGGGTCAGCCGTGACGGTCCTGCTGCAGAGCGTGGAACTGGCCACGCTGGCCACTGCGCTCCGGTCTCCGGAGAGGACAACACAGAATGTGACGACAGAGTCTATGGGTGAGGGGGGACGTGTGGCTCTCGGCACCACCTGCTGGCTGCCGTGAGATACGGGGTTATACACTGTGCCCCAAATCCAATGGAAGTTAGAGCTTATATACCGTTGTGGATATGAGCCTGTGTTCAGTACAGAGACAGACCAGCACTGCCCCTGCCCCAGGAAATATAACCCAGCCCCGCCAGTGCCCCCGGAGCAACAGCAATGCCCAAGAAGGCTTTAAATGTAATATTTGGTATTCCATCACTAGGGGCGGCCACGCTGAGCCAGGCACCTCCCCCCACCCCCACTACTCCCCCTGCTGGGGACGCAGCATCCCAATGGAGTCAGAGCCAGAATGGGGGGAGGGGATACGGGGGGTGATCAGTGGAACTGGGGGGGGCTCCAAACTTCCCCCTCCCACAGTGCAAAGTGCCCTGAAGCCCCCCGGCTCCAAGTGGAGTGGGACGGGGGTGGATCTGGCCCAGAATGGACAGATTCCTAGGGAAGTGATTTCACAGCACGGGGCTCTGTCATTCCTCACCCCCACCCCCTACAGCTGTCGAGACGCGGCTCGTCACAGGGAACTGCAGCCAGGACAGTGAGGTCTTCACGCTGAGAGCTCACGAGGAGACGATGGCCGTGCACTGTCATACAGTCACCAGGGCAGCCACACAAGGTACCATCCTGGGGATGGCAACACCCAGGGCCGAAACCACTGCACAGAGCGGTTCCTGGGCACTGAACCCCAGTCTGGGTTCCCCCGTTCCTCCCTCCCTCCCCATGGATCCCCAGGCCGGGCCCTGGCCTCTGTCTCTAGCCCTGGAGGGCTCCTTGCTGGCTGAGCCAGTGGTTCTCAGGCTGTGGCCATGGAGCTGACACCTTCGTTCCTGCCTGTCCCACAGCTTGAGCCCCGAGCAGTGAGGAGTTGGGGGCGCAGAGGGAAGATGGCTCATGAGAGGGTCTCTGGTATGAAGTGGGCCCAGAGAATGGAAAGGGCAGGGACGCCCTAGTCTAGCCAGACCCCCAAATGGAGATGTGGGGACCAGGGTAACGTGTACCTCAGCTGCCATATTCAGGGCCCCGAATCCTCCAGCACCAGGGGAAGCTCATCCCTGGCCAGCTCCTCTCCTGGTCTCGCTGAGAAAATCTGTATCTTCATCTCTGCATCCTGCAGCTCGACTTTTCCAGCCGGACGCGTTCCTGGGGACTCCGAGGGAGGAGGTAGCACAGTCCAGTGGTTAAACCTTAAGAGTTGTGGCCAGGATCCTGGGTTCCATTCCCAGATCTGCCACAGACTCACTGTGACCCCTGGGCACCTGGCCGGCTCCTTCTTTGCCATAGCGTCCCCAGCTCCCTAACGAGGGATCATCTCCTCTCCCAGCAGGTTTGGGGGCTGCTGCTTTTATTTCCTACTCCACCCTGGACTCCATCATCAGTGCGAGACGTCTCAGCGAGGGAAATCTACCGGCTGGTGGGAAGCTGGAGAACGGTCATCTCAACTCCAGGGTGGTGAGTGGGGCCCTCGGAGACGGGAGACCCATTAACCTCTCCAGACCTGCAAACTTCACCTTGCGTCACAGACAGGTGCGTGAAGGAAGAGCCTCTCGCTTTCCTCCATATCTGGGGCTCCAGAGGGGCCTATAGAAGGCACCATCTCCTGCTGGGCATTTGGACCGTGCTGCCTTTCTGGCTATCGATGGTCCTGAGAAGAGGAGGCCTCCTTATTCCTGATGAGTTGGGGCTGTTTTCCTGGAGGAGGTTACCGGGAGTCACACCACGACACATGGCTATGCAAAGTGCTCAAGGGTAAAAGCTCCTCCTAGCTCTCCCCTGAGCCGGAATAACTGGAAAGCCGCTTTCTATAGATATTGGGGTTTAGGGAATCAGCATGAAACACTTTGATACAGTAATGAAGTGGTTAGGGTGCATATGTGTATGTGTGCACACAGCACTGCCCTCTGCTGGATGCAGTCAGAACTGCTCAGCCATGTGCCACGTTCCTTATAGTGCTAACAGCTAGCAAGGGTTTATTTCGCTTGCACTCCAAAAGCAGGGCCTGTGATTTTGGAGCAGTGGGTTCTCCGTTCTCTCTCTACTGTCACCGGGATGGCCCCAGTGGGCACTGGGGACTGCGTGGGGAGAGCCGTGGAGCTGTAGGTGGCCTCGGGTTTGCTATAGACTTGTGATAACAGAAATGACGTTCCGTGGTCCCACGAGGATGAGGATGATTCTGTTGTATTTCCAGGCCAAAAAAGAGGAGGAAGAGGCTCTCTGCGTCTACTGGAAAGTAGAGGCTGAGAACGGCAGCTGGTCTCCGGATGGCTGCACCGCTGTGCACACGAACAGCACTCACACCAACTGCAGCTGTGACCATCTCTCCAGCTTGGCCGTCCTAATGGCTCCCACCACAGTGGCGGTATCTCACCGTGAGACTCGGGTCACAGGGCTGGACCCTGAGCTCCGCACTCAGGCATGGGCAAAGCTCTCCCTGGAGCGACTGGAGTCTTTGCTGGGGAAAAGGCTGAGTAGGAACCGAGGGTGCTGGGCTGGGGTCACTGGTGATTCTCCCTTTGCTGTTGTCAGGGTTCCTTCCCCACTCTGAACTCTAGGGTACAGATGTGGGGACCCCCATGAAAGCCCCCTAAGCTTATTTCTACCAGCTTAGGTTAAAATCTGGTACACTGCCACCACCAAGTGATTTAACAAGAAACAGGGAAAGGACACTTGGAGTTCCTCTTCCCCCCAAATATCCCCCCAAGCCCTTACACCCTCTTTCCTGCAGAGGCTTGAGAATAATATATTAACCGATTTGTTACAAAGTGATCAAAGACCCAAACCCCTGGGTCTTTGGACAATGGAAAAATCAGTCAGGTTCTTAAAAGAAGGGTTTTATTAAAAAGAAAAGGGAAAAAAATCATCTCTGTAAAATTAGGATGGAAAATAACTTTACAGGGTAATCAGATTCAAAGAGCCCAGAGGAACCCCCTCTAGCCTTAGTTTCAAAGTTACAACGAAACAGAGATATACATCCCTCTAGCAAAGGGAACATTCACAAGTTGAGAAAACAAAGATAAACTAATACTACTTGCCTGGCTGTTACTTACAAGTTTGAAATATGAGAGACTTGTTCAGAAGGATATGGAGAACATGGATTGATGTCTGGTCCCAAGAGCGAACACACCGAAAACAAAGAGCACAAACAAAAGCCTCCCCTACCCCTCAATATTTGAAAGTATCTTGTCCCCTTCTTGGTCCTTTGGGTCAGGTGTCAGCCAGGTTATCTGAGCTTCTTAACCCTTTACAGGTAAAAGGATTTTGCTGTCTCTGGCCAGGAGGGATTTTATAGTATTGTACTCAGGAGGGTTGTTACCCTTCCCTTTATAGTTACGACAGTTGTGTTACAGGAGATTGACCCACTGACCATCATCACCTACGTGGGACTGACCTTCTCCCTGCTGTGCCTTTTTCTCGCCATCCTCACCTTCCTCCTGTGCCGCTCCATCCGCAACGTCAGCACCTCCCTCCACCTGCAGCTCTGCCTCTGCCTCTTCCTGGCCGACCTGCTCTTCCTCACTGCTGTGACCCGCACCGGCAGTCGGGTACGGCCTGATTCTCCTCTGCTCTGTTCCTCCATTAGCAGCAGGGCTGGGTTGTGTGGCTTTGAACCCCTTTGTTATCCCTGGATTCTGGACTCTGCCGGACACAGGGGGGATTCCTGGGGGGATGTTTGCACCCCATTATGTCCCTTCACACTGGGCAGAGTGGTCTGAGTGTCCACATCCCCAGGAATTTGGCCAGTTCTATCCCTATGTCACAGTCTCCCTGTGCCTCGATTCCTCCTCTACATGACTTGCCCATGGTGACCCAGGGACTCTGTGGCAAGGCAGTGAACAGAACCTGGATTCCCTGAGCCCTGTTCCCCTGCTGTAACCAATAATCTCTGCTCCCTTCCTGCATCAGCAATGTGTACCCACAGGACCCTCCATAGACCGAGGAACCTGCCGTCTCTGGGTCACAGGGTGCTATAACTGGAGAGCTGTGTTAACTAGAATCCCAGTGTGACCCGCCCCCGGCAGGTCTCCCCCATTCTCAGCATTTCCCTTCCCCACCGCAGTGTCCCTGGGCTCTCTGTCT